TGTCCAAGATGGTAGCCACTTAGCAACATATGGCAACTGAACACTTGAAATGTGGCTGGCATAAACTGAGAAACACTGCAACTATAAAATACGCATGGGATTTCAAAGACGTGGTATGAAGTAAATCATATAAACTATCATATCAGCAGTGTTATAATAATTATAGTTTGAAATTACTGTTTTTGATAGATTGAGTTAAATAAAATATATTCTTAAAATTAATTTTGCCTTTTTCCATTTGGTTTTTTAATGTGACTACTAGGAAAGTTAAAATTGCAGGGGCCAGCAGATTGCATAGTAGTTAAGGTGCTGAACTCCCACATGGTAGACTGTGGTTCAAGTCCCAGATCTGATTGCTTGAAACCCACATGGGGTGCATGTGTGTACATGCCCAAAATCCCAAGAGAAGAATGGAGGAAAAGGGACTGTGGCATGGACATCCCCCGGGGGGGTAATTTCTCCCTTTCCCTCTCCCTGTTTTTCTCTGTGTTTCTGACAAACACACGTGCCCTATAGCAAAAACCTTTAAAAGAAAAAAATTACATGTATAACTTGCGATCTTGTTCTAACAGCACTACTTTATACCATGAAGTCAACCACTGTCCACAGTGTCCTGTGACTCCCTGCTCTCAGGCCAGTCCCTCGGGGGACTTACCCCAATTCTATGTGGGGTCTGGCTCTATCCCACTACCTGAAAGGTAGGATAATATTCTATATGACCTCTTCAGGTGACTTTCTGCTGAAGGACTCTCCTTTTCTACATGCTTCTCTTCCCATTTGAATTAAATTTGTTAAATTGTCATAGTCATGTGAGTAAGTGTATATAAGGGTGCATTGGTGTACTCGTGCATGCACAAACACACTCACATGTGGGAAGTCATAAGGAAACAGTAGTGTGAAATTATGTGTTTTCCTCAGTGAAAAACAATATAGCCTGGGCAGATGGGCAGGTAGGTAGGTAGGTAGATTAGTAAGAGCCATGTGTCTAGGGGTAAGGGGAAGTAGATAGGTAGATTACTAAGAGACATGTATCAGGACCAGCAATTAGCATAATGGCTATGTCACTGGACTCCTATGTAGTCAACCACAGTTTGAGTCCCAGACCCAGTGGCTTAAACTCACACTGAGCGCATGTGCATGCCTGCCCAAGATCCCTAGAGGAGAATGGAGGAAAAGGGATTGTGGCGCGGCCATCCCCCCCAGGGGGGTGATTTCTCACTTTCTGTCTCTCTGTCTCCGTCTGTCTTTCTGGTGAGCGCATGCGCCCTATAGCAAAAACCTCTCAAAAAAAGAGAGAGAGAGACATGTGTCTAGGGGTGAGGAAACTTTCTCTTCTACAAAGGAAACCTCAAAGTGAATTGCTCTCATTCACCTTCTATAACAGAGAGTGAAAATGAGAAGGTGACACCCCTGCCATTAGGAGGCTCTAGAAACAGAGCTACTGATAAGTGGGAATCTCGTGTTTTTTGTTGTTGTTTAAAAAAATTTTTTATTTAATTTTATTTATTTTTATTATTATTTTAATTTGACCAAAGAGACACAAGGGAGAGGGGGAGTGCAAGCCACCAGGTCTAGGACTCAAATTGCAGTTGGCCATGTGGGATGTCCAGCACCTTAACCAACATGCCACCTGCTGGCCTCCTGGGAATCTCTTACTAAGGCCTAGGTACCAGTTTTCCAAGGAAAACTAAATCATTTGGGTATTATCTGTTGAAGATATTTCGTAGTTTTATCAGCAGTACTAGGGAGAAATGTCAACCTGTTGAAATATCAATTTTGTAAGACAAATAATAAAGTGATTGAATGTTAAAAAAAAAAATAGTTCTGGTGAGAGTGAGGGAAACCAAGCCTGAAGGCACTCACCCAGGGTTTGGCACAGTCATTTCAGAGCATCTGAATCACAGAAATTTTCAACCATCTGAAAATTGAAGCAGTTACTTGCACTAATGCAACAGGTTTTGGTCAACAAAGTATTGCTGACCAAGTCAACTAGCCTGGCCTGCTTCCATGAATCACAGGGGCTTATTTTTTTGTTTTGTTTGTCCATTTGTTTATTTAGTGATAACTACAAACAAATGAGTGCTGTGAAGGCCTTGCTTCTCAGAAAGTGTGGTCCCTGGACCAGGAGTAGCAGCATCATCTGGGAGCTTATTAAGCAAATGATTGAGTCCTATCCCAAACCCAAGGTAAAAAGATCCTTGTTAAGATGCAATGAGATTCTGCATTTTAACAAGATTCCCATCTGATTCATGTACAAATTAAAGCTTGAGAACTACCTGAAGCTTAACCTTCTGACTACATTCATTTGCTTAACAAACTTTTGGATAAATAAACAATGGTATCCTCTTGTTTGAGTTAGTCTCTGGAATTTGCCCCATTAGGGATCTTTCTGTTTTTCTTCTTTGGACTGTAGCTAATAATACAAACTGTTTTTCAAGTAAATCAGTGGTTCCAGGTGGTTCTTGGATGAGAGACCAGTAGCAAGGCTATAAAAAGTCAGATAGTTCTCTTTAAGCTTCCAACCAAGCATTCCCTGAGGCAAATAGCCTCACCATAAGGAAGGCAAATGATCTCATGTAAAAGAGCCAAGTGTCTGTGTAACTACCACACTGCTCCCATGTACATCAAAATAAGGGGAGAAAATGCCAAAATCAACTTTATTTTTGAATGTCACACCCTAGCGCATGAAAAAGGGACTTTCACACCCAAACTGAGAAAAACAAATTTAATCCAAATACTTTTCCTATTAGTTAAAATGTTTCTACAACCAAAAATAGTTAATACATATATATAAGGTGTGTTAATATACATACACACACATATATATACACACATATATACATATATACACACCACACACACACACACACACACACACACACATAGTTATTTTGTATACATCCTAGACCTTATAATATTAGCACTATGATTGCCTGATATGTTCTCCAACCACTTATTTCAACCAAGGAGCAGAAGAAAACACACAGTAAGAATATTGAGTATTTTGAAATAAGACATTATTCCTCAGTGGAGCTATTTACAAAAGGACTTTCAGGTTTAAATATAGTCTCAAAACTGACAGGAAATGCCCCAAAGTATTCAAAGGCAGTAAAAACAAATTAACACAGGTAAATACTTAGATTTATGATATTCAAAGCAAGCTGCAGTGCATATGTGAAGGCTTCAAATAGTTCATAAGAAAATAAAATTAAAGTACAAGTTTATTATGGTGCAAAAAAATTTAAATCCATCTATATTTTTTTCATAATATGAATTTTCCATATTTTTGATGTCTCATAATTCATAATTATGTTTTATTCATCAGAACATAATTACATATTGATACATAAAAATGCCAACATCTGAATGATGACTTAATAAACTGTTACATCATTGCCTTTAAATTCAGTGTTTATTGACCACTTGTATCCAAGCTGCTCATGTATTCACAGCTAATTCATTACCAAGACTGTTACTAGCTAATTATGCCTGAATATCATCTTTCGTGACATTTGTAAATCATAATTCATCAAAAAGAAAATGCACACCAAAAAAACCTGGGTTAATCCAAATTTCTAATTCAAAATACAACCATGCAAAAAGGAAAAAAAAAAAAAAAAAAAACTAGTTTTCTAGTTTGGGCAAAAGACCTGAATAGAACTTTTTCCAGAGAAGACATACAAATAGCCAGTGGAGATGTGAAAAGATGCTCAAGATCAACAATCATCAGGGAAATGTAAAGCAAAATCATGATGAGATACTTCACACCTGTTAGGATGGCTATTATCAAAAAGTCAAGCAATAACAAGTGTTGGTGAGAGTATTAAAAAGATAATGCTTACACATCATTGGTGGGAATATAGTCTGACTCAGTCATTATGGAAAACAGTATGGAGACTTCTCAAAAAATTAAAATTAGAACTCTCATACAATCCAGCCATCACACTAGTGGGTATATATGTGTGTATCCAAAGGAAATGAACTCAGTATCTTGAAGAGATATCTGTACTCCCAAATTCATTGCAGCATTACTCACTATAGCCAAGATATGGAATCAACCTAAATGTCTATCAATGAGTAAATGGATAAAAGTACATGCATGTACATATATGCATACACACATACATGTACACATACATGATGGAACCTTATTTAATCATAAAAAAGAAGGAAATCCTGCCTCTTGTGACAACCTGAAGGACATTATGCTAAGCAAAATAATCCAGACATGAAAAGACAAACATGGTATGATCTCACTTAAATGTGGAATCTAAAAAATGTTGAACTTACAGAACCAGAAAGTAGAATGATGGTTACTAGGACTGGGGGTCAGGGTAATGGGAGGATGTTGGACAAACAATACAAATTTCAGTTAAATGTTGAATAAGTTCTGGGGCTCTAAGATGTAGCATGGTGACTATAGCAATAAATAATGTATAATAGACTTGAAACCCACTGAGAGAGTAGATTCTAAGTGTCCTCATCACATACACATGAAATGGTAAATAAGTGTGGTGATGAATGTGTTCATTTGATCGTGGCAATCATTGCACCATGCATGTGTATATCAAATCAGCAAACTGTTGACCTTGAATATATAGAATTTTTGTCAAATGTACTTCAATAAAACTGGAAGAAAATAAATGCATCTGAAAACAGATGGAGAAGAACGTGATGCCACAGTGGAGTCTCTAGACTCATGACCTTGAACTTCACCTAGACTGTGCCTGCCTCCAAGCAGCCATATAAAATTTCCTCAGGTCATTCACCCTTCCACTCCCCCTGGACTATTCCTCTCCTTCTTCCTTCTCCAGTTTTCAATATCTGCTCATCCATCCTTACTCATTTGATACCTTTGTTCTCTGTTTTACTGAGAAACTGAAAGAATCCAAAGAGAACACCTACAGACCTTTACCACCTGGAAGGCTGACATTGGCTTGCTGACTGTCAGATCTAACTAGATTGCCATTGTGTTGTACCAGCTGTGGAGGACCACTTACCATCTCCTTCTTATCTTCCTGGAAGTGCACATCCACAAACATTTTTCCAACAACATAAGGGAGGGCACTTTCGATAAAGTTTACACATTTGTCCCATTGAGGCAGCAACGTTGTGGTCCCTTGGATTACCTGTGGGAGATAATTAATCCAGATTGAGCTTCATTTGGTTAAAACCAAAGTAGTTATGTATCAATACTTAATACCAACTACTTTGTGTTATTATATATCAGTACATGATACTAACCATTTGGTATTACTATGTATTACTACATGATACCAACCATTCTAAAGATCATGATGTAATAGAGTGTTACATCATTGCCTTTAAGTTTTTAAAATCTTTTAATACTTAAAATCTATAGCTGAAAAAAAATTGAAACCACCCAAAGAAAACAGTGTACATAGTATCATACACTCCAACCTACATACATGTCAGATTATATAGGTAAAGATAAAATCAGATGAATAAAAAACCTGTTCGTCCCCAGTAATATTTAAAACTAAATGAATATGTTCAGAGAGTGAAAAGTAATGTATTTAATGTATTTCTCCTTATCTTCCAACTTTCCCTATTAAATGAAGAGTCTGGACAATGGCCTAACTTTTCTACAGTCAGCAGAGACATCAGAAGATACCGTTCAAGTGTCCAGACAGTTATTATCTAATGAGAACTAAAGTTCCACTGGGAAAGGTCTAGAATGGGTGATCAAAGTTCCTGCCAGCAAGGATTTCCTTGCTCTTTTGTAGAACACTCAATAAGGAAGATCAGGACAGCATGGCCCATCATGAACAGCTGAGGGAGCATATTTACAGTGTGTCATAGCAAAGAACACACAGGTAAACAAGTAAAATACAGTGGTAAACACTTCCTATCTGTTCCAATCAAACCATTACAAGGAAATATTTACAAACAAGTGAGGAGTTCCAAAGTAGGACTTGGAAGGCTCAAAGACTTACCCTCTGAGATGAAAGCAGAGAAATATAAATTGCCCTTGGAGGGTGAGATGCAGGCAGGCAGTGAGAGAGGGAGGCCCCGAGAATGGAGGCCAGTAAAGACCCCTCGTACAGTGTTAGACCCAGGTTGTTTGAGCAGGGTGAATGGGATTAACACTTCAGTTCATCTATTCTTTCCTCTGCTTGCTGATAACACAACCCTTCTCAGAGGTAACAGATGAATCTATTTTTAAAACCTCCAGG